AGCGCGACCAAACTTGGTATACTTACACATCTTGGGGAGAAGGTGTGTCGCGTACCGAAACCAGGTCACTGCAACCTTTATTTGACATTGACCTTGACCTTCATCACATTTCTCTTCCGCTCTATAACTCAGCCCCTAATTGACCTAGCGCGACCAAACTTCGTATACTTACACAGGGTTGAAAATACTTTTCTAACATCGGTGATCCTGCAGGATCACCGATGTTATAATATTGGTGATCCTGCAAACATTTTGGTGATCCTGCCGAAACGCATACGTTATAATTATTTATACATTGCAATATGTTCCTGTTTTACAAGCGTATACAGTAACCAGGCAAAAAAGATAGAAACAGCACAATCAGGAAATTAGAATTTGATTTATTTCTTTATCTCTTTCTCAGTCTGAGTCTGAGTGTTGCACAGACAGTTCTATAATATTAATAAGTGCATCATCGTCATCTACGTAATCTTCGGCTGTCTGTTCATCATCATCTTCAACAGTGGCAGGTTTAGTGGAAAGATGAGGCCCATACGGTTTGACAAAAGGCCTTCGTCTTCTCTCTGCTTCCCACAGTGCCACTGCATTAGACGGATCAAAAGCACCTACTGCAGGAGAATCCAGAGAAATTCTCATCAGTGCATTTAAGTTGGATCCTGATAGTCTGCTTCTCCAATCAGACTTTATTCTCTTCATTTGAGAGAAACCTCTCTCACACTCTACACTAGTAGACGGCAAAGACAGCAACAGATTCACCACAGCAGCAAAGTTCTTGCTTCTTGGGTTTGCTGCCAGAATGTCTGCCCATGTTGCCTTTTGACGGCCACGTTCATCACTGTACCTTTTCTGTACATAGAGTTTAATGGTGGTCCACTCTTCTACAACGTTTTCAGTTTGTACAGATGCCGCCTCCAAAACTGTCCTGTGATGGGCCACGATATCATCAAGAGCACAATCGCCATAGTCTTCTTCACCCTTCAGATCTAGTGGCCATGACTTGATGTACAAAATGAGTGAAATGTTTTGCAACATGTTTCCATTAATGGGAAACCTCCTTTCCAGTTCACTTAAAAGTACATCCACATGCTTTGCTTTTGCAGACTTGAATATTTTCCCTTCCACTTTATAACTCGGCCCCTAATTGACCTAGCTCTACCAAAACCAGGTCACTGCGACCTTTATTTGACCTTTACCTTGACCTTGATCATATTTCCTTTCCGCTCTATAACTCGGCCCCTAATTGACCTAGCGCTACCAAACTTGGTATACTTACACATCTTGGGGAGCAGGTGTGTCGCATACCAAAACCAGGTCACTACGACCTTTATTTGACCTTTACTTTGAACTTGATCATATTTACCTTGACCTTGATCATATTTCCTTTCCGCTCTATAACTCGGCCCCTAATTGACCTAGCGCTACCAAACTTGGTATACCTACACATCTTGGGGAGAATGTGTGTCGCATACCAAAACCAGGTCACTGCGGCTTTTATTTGACCTTGACCATATTTCCCTTTCGCTCTATAACTCGGCCCCTAATTGACCTAGCGCGACCAAACTTGGTATACTTACACATCTTGGGGAGATGTGTCGCGTACCAAAACCAGTTCACTGCGGCTTTTATTTGACCTTGACCATATTTCCCTTTCGCTCTATAACTCGGCCCCTAATTGACCTAGCGCTACCAAACTTGGTATACTTACACATCTTGGGGAGATGTGTCGCGTACCAAAACCAGTTCACTGCGGCTTTTATTTGA